GGCGATGGTCGGACTTGCGTCGGCTCTTGTGATGGTGGCGGCGACTGCTGTGTGGTGGTTGTGGGGAAGGTGGTTGTGGTGCTGGTGAGGCAGTGGTGTCAGGTTGGTCTGGTGCTGGTATTGAAGGTCCCGGTGCTGGTGTGGCAGAGACCAGGGGGATGGCACCTGTGGATGGATAATTGGCAATCGCAGTCTGTTGCTGTGTTGGAGGGGGATGTGTCAGTGTAGTGGGGGGAGGAAGTTCAGCTGGTGGTGCGGGATGATGTGATGGCAGCAGGTAGGACGGGGGAGGTGCTGCTGTCGGAAAAACTGGAGCTGGATGTGTGGGTTGCGGTGGCACGTGACATGGGGGGACAAAAGTCCAAGTGGATGGTGTGCCGTAGGTCAGTGCGGTGGCAGTAGGGGCGGATAAAACCGGTTGTGGTTGAAATGGTTGTGGTTGGAGGTGAGGGTATGCCTGTGGTTGTGTCGAGGGATAGGTGGGTGCAGTTGATGGCTGTGGCATCGGCCATGTGGGTTGAGGTTGTGTGGTAGGTAGTGGTGGTGGCGTGGTGTGAGCATAGGGCCACGGAAAATGCATGTCGTGGCGTAGCTATGGCTCGGCGCGGCGCGGCAGCAAAAGGCAGCGAAGAAATGCCGAGTGGTATTGTTTTGTTGTTGTTGAAGGTGTCAGCGCTGGTGTCGGTGGTGAGGATGTTGTAAGGTGGTGCTAAGCGTTCGCTTGTTGGTAAGTGTGTGTTCATGCATCTCGAATTAAGCTGAAGAGTTGCAATGCCCTTCCTTGAGTGCTGTCGATGAGAGAGTCGCGGCAGCAACATAACGAACACATAAAGACGCACATGATTGGAAGCCATGAAAAGAAAAATGAATGCCGAAATCGGAAATCAGAAGTTCTGAATCTGAGTAATTTGTCAAAAACTGTTTTTTGGCCCGGCGGCCGGTGTGGCAGTTGATTCAAAGTGGGGGTCGGTGCTTTCCTGTGATGTTCCAGTGATCGGTGGAGCGTTGGGGTGGTTGCTTTCCCATGCAAAAACAGCGCCCCTGTGAAGGGGATCACACTCAGCACCCGAGTGGGACGGCTGAGCAGGACACACTTCGAATTTGGATTTTCAGTTAATGCAAGTATCACGTTGGGAAGGAAGGTGAGGGAAACGTAAGGTGAAAGGTCAGCGCAACTGAAATGTTTAACAATCTGTTCACTCATCTGCAGAAGCGCGGCTGAACGTCGGCGGCTGAAGGCAGCGGTGGGAAAACCTGTTTGGGGGTGGTAGCATGAAGGACCATGAAAACAAAGAACAGCGGCAGGGTGGACCAGTGGAGTCATTGTGTTGAAAGCAGGTACGTCAGTTCCGCGTCCGGAACTGATATCAGTACCGCCACAGAAGCCTCTTCGTTGGACTGTCACTTCTGTGGGGTAGACAGTCCCCCTGCTTGTGGAGAAAAGGTGGTGGAAAACCCTTTGTCCAGGGTGGGACACACACACACACACGGAGCCGCACAGCGGCGCTCCGATCGAGGGCCGCTTGGCGGCGCTCTCGCGCACAACCTGAATAGCCACCTAAAAAGCCTTAGACAGGAGAGAAAGAAAAACAGAAAGAGCAGCGCTAAAAGGGCAAGAAGAAAAGGTAGGGGTAGCGCAAAAGATGACTACTTAGCCCTTGACTGGGGTAGGGAAACGAGCCTCAAGAACAACCTAACAAGCCTGAAAGAAAGCCCAAGAAACGAAGAAAGCGCAAGAAAGAAAGCCGGGGGCAGGGAGGGGGTGTATGTTCATGTGTGTGTCCATGTGTGTGTGTGTATGACTACTTAGCACTTTAGATACTGATTACTTAGCCGAAATGAATTAAATGCAGTAGCTAGGGAGCGGGACTTTAGTCTTAAACCGCCCGGGTAGAGTGTATTAGAACAGGGACAACAGAAGGAAAGGCACCGACACACAAGTGTGTCGAGTACCATTTCCTTCGGGGTTTATTCTCCGTAAGCCCGGCGGCATTGAGTCTCTGTGAAAACCCGGCGGTGTTGTGGCAGGAAATTCATTGGGTGAAACATGTGTTTCCAGTACCATAATCCAACGCATGCAGAGAACGTAAAGTCAGTAAGTGGTAGTCCGGAGTGGCTTCAGCGCCCCTTTGCAGGGGATCACACTGCACACCCAAGTGGGACGATGCAGCGGGACACACTTCGATAATGGGTTTGCAGTTAACTCTGTTCCACGAAGAAAGGAATGAGGGAACGCAAAGGCGATGGAGTCCGCTGACTTGAATTGTTAAAACAATTGTTTTGCACATCTGCCGAATGAATACGTAGCCGAGAAATTATAGTTACTGTGAATACTTAGCAGAAACAAATTAACGTCGTGCATGGAACCCTGGTTTGGGGGACGTATCATGAAAACCACCATGAAACCAAAACAGAGAGTAGAACAGCGTGGACAACAGTTAAACCGCCGGTACGTTTGCAAGCAGGTGGGGGTGTCTTCGTTGGCCGGAGACCCCCCACCTGGCTCCGGCGGCTTGAAACAAACTCAAAAACCTTGGAAACAGAGTAACAAAAACTCCTAGAGACGGAGGTTGACACACTCTGACATTGGTTTTCAGTTAACTCAATTGCCACGATGGGAAGGAAGGTGAGAAACGGTATGGTGGAGAGTCCGCAATACTTGAAGATGTTTTAACAAAAGCTGTTTCGCAAGTCTGCAGAACTCAACGGCAAACCTCTGGGGCCTGGAGGTCTTGAAGAGGAAGCAAGGCCAAAAGCTCAATGCGGCACTGCAGAAAAGGTTTAAAAAATTGAAAGGCAGGTACGTCAGTGCTGGCCGGGCACTGATATCACATCCACTTGGCGCGGTCTTTGTTAGATGAGGCACACCAAGGGATCCTCATCCCCCTGCTTCTTTTTTGCGCGCTTTGTACATGTTAAAAAATTGACAAGCTGTACGCTAATAGCGATACTAGGAGCCTTTAGTAGCGAAACCGGGGGCCCTTAGTAGCGTCCTTTGTGACTCGAAACCTTAGGGACAGGTGTGGACACACACACGGCGCCGTACTCGGCGCGCTCTCCTACCTGCAAACTAGTATTGAGGCCAGAAGTCCCTAGTAGCGTCCTTGCTCCCCGTAGACCGGCCAGAGGCCCCTATAGTAGTACCGTCCTTGCTCCTAGTAGCGATCTGTTGGCAACAACTTTGTACACATAACGCCAATATTGGCGTTCCGGAAAACTACTAGTCACCTAAAAGGCCTTAGAAAGACAGACCAAGAAAACAAAACAAGAGCAGACTAAGAGGGCAAAGGCTCAAGACGAGGTCGGTCCGACAGGGTGACGGCGTTCCGTGCGTGACTGCGGCAACATGAAGTACGTAGTACCAAATCGTTGAGGTTCTAGGCTTAGCCTCATGCCATTCGGAAAAGGAAAAATGCAGGTACGTGCAATCTGCGTCCAGATTGCAAATCACGGCAAACTTGAAGTGTCTTCGTTGAGCGGTGACTTCAAGAATGCCCACCGCTCCCCTGCTAAAATCCAAAAGGATCCCTATGATTCCAAGGGTTACACACACACACCTTACAGAAACTCGACTATATACAATCCTGCTAAAGAGGTGCGTGTCCAAGTGCTGCAACACCCGGGATGTATTCACATGATACCAGCGCAGCAGCCGTTCCAACTGGCGCATGGCACTTCGCGCATTAGAACGCACCAGCATGTTGTCGCAAGCACGCCACAAACGTGGTAGTTCCAGCTCCAATTCCCCTAGCGGTAACGACAGCACCTCCCGCACATGCGCTGGGATGCGAGGAGTCGCTGGTTGCTGAAGCATTGCTATCGCTTTCTGGCATCCCCAGCGGACTTAACAGATTGGAATCACTTGTATAAGAGGGGTGGGTCGTCCACAATACCCACCGACACAACATGCACGTCGTCGTCGGCGGCGTAGTAGTAGTAGTCGTCGTCGTCGTCGTCGTAGTAGTAGTAGTAGTTCTTGTTGTAGTTGTTGCAGTAGTAGTTGTTCTTGTGGTGGTGGTGGTTCGTCGGGGTCGACTGGGTCCTGAGATTAAGCGTGGCCCCCCCGCGCGGTCGCAATAAATATGTGGGTCCTATTGGGTCCCAAAATGCCAATAAGTGCAGCTAGCTCAAAAACTATCAGCCCGAGAACTGCAATGATACCAACATTGGGACAACTTCCTTCTTCTTTTCAAGCGCACTATGCTGATTCCAAAGTTTCCTCACAGACTCTGGAAAAAAGTAACTAGCTAATTACTTTACTTCGAGTGATCCCCACCATGACATTTCAAAACAACCACGTTGACATCAACCTTGTTGTGCATTTCGCAACCCAGGTGCTTGTCAGTCCAGGTGCTTGTGTGTGTTTGTGTTTGTGGTTGTGTGTTTGTGGTTGCGTTTGTGACTGTGCTTGTGGTTGCATTTGTGATTGTGTGCTTGTGGTTGTGCATTTTGTGGTTGCGTTTGTGACTGTGTTTGTGGTTGCGTTTGTGATTGTGTGCTTGTGGTTGTGCATTTGTGGTTTTGTTTGTGGTTGTGTGTTTGTTGTTGTGTTTGTGGTTGTGTTTGTGGTTGTGTGCTGTGGTCGAGGTCCGGCAGGGAACACTGGGCGTGGAAGGTCGTGGTCGAGGTCCGGCAAGGAACACTGGGCGCGGATGGTCGTGGTTGAGGTCCGGCAGGGAACACTGGGCGTGGATGGTGGTGGTTGAGGTCCGGCAGGGAACACTGGGCGCGGATGGTCGTGGTTGAGATCTGGCGGAAGAGGACGAGGAGGAGAAGGAGACGAAGGAAGGAAGGAAAGGAAGGAAGGAACGAAGGAGATGGGGCTGACATAAAATCTAACAACCCTCACCTGACAGGTGGGGAATTACATGGAATGACTTCAATAGCTTGGGGCACCTCCATGTTTGTTGGCCAAGTATTCAGTTGGACCAAACCCTGCACCCGAAAGAGATGCGCCGGTCGACTCGAACTCCCCCGCGACCCCCTCCGGGACGCCGTGCCGTCTTCCGCCTCGGAAACCGAGGCGAAGAGTCACGGATGGCCCGGATGGCCCTCGTTCGATCTCCGTGTCATCTATGTCATCTATCAAACTGCAGGTCTAAAGATGGCGTCAGCTGGTGACATTGATGTGCAGATCTGCATCGAGATATGGTCGACTTGGGTCTAGGACATTTAGATTAAACTACTCTGAACTCTAGCGGAATGGAACGAATCCTTTCTGTTTCCAGTAAAGATATATGACTCCAACCTACAGTCGGCAGTACAAACGTACGTCACCGTACGTCCGTTCAAAAGTAAGGACGTGGCGTCCTTGTGAGGGCGAATAGCTATATATTGGGTCCATCCTATTACCTGAAACCGTGGATGATGATGGTTAGTAAAGGTCTTGTTCAAAAATTGTCATAATTGTTTACTGACTGTTACAGTTATAGGTAATAGTACAAACCCTAGCTAAATATATATATATATATATGATGAAACTTGACTGGTGACAAATTCTTCCGTACCAGGCACCCATCAAACAGCCAGGGCCCCTGCGGCTGCTGCGGCCGGAGCTGCTGCAGGTTCTGCCGCCACAGGGGCCGCCGCAGGGGCCGCCGGGGCAGGAGCTTCCGCGGAGGTGGAGGTAGAAGGATACCCAGCAGCTAAAGGGTCCTTAAAAGCTCAGGAATACTCAGGATGACATGGTCATGAGGCAACCTTTCCACACTCTACACTTCGCGAGTCGTCTTCCTGAAGAAAAATCATGCAAACCATGCTGATGGATTCCTGGAAGGGTCAGTTCAATGCCTTCGGTGATGTTGATAGTGGGTGCATTTCGAGCATGTGCAGACGAAGTCTGTGCGCAGGATTCTACGTTTGTTTGCAAGCTTGAATCATTCACCATGTGTCCAGCTAGAGGTTATGTCGTTGTATAGCTCGAGCAGTCATAGTTTTGCGCTTTGTTGCTTTTTGCAGCCTTGACAACAACCAGCTTAAGTTATTGAATGGCAAAAGCTTCACCATTCACATAGCTGCCTCCCTCAAGCGTGCATTCAATTTGATCCAAGTCGTTGGCTTGTTTTGTGCCCTGTGCGGCTGCCGCGTGGGAAAATGCTTTTTGCCTTAAAAAAACTGTCTCCATTGCTGTATCGGAAGTTGCAACAGTCTACGTGCTTTCTTGAAGCTGTCCCTTTGTAGCCTTCATGGTCAACTGCTTCTAGTTCTTGGAGCAGCGAGTATTGTGTTTTGGCGATGTTGAAGTACCCTTCCAAAGTGTTGAGACGGTGCTGAGACGGTCTGGTTGCGGTTGTTCCTTTGTTCGGTGGCGCGGTCTGGTTCTCACACCTCAGTCCCAGACGATCACATCGTCTTTCTTCTCCTCGGTTAGGTCCAAAAGGTCAGACATCACCTGACAGCGGATCTCACTTTCAGATGCTGACAATCACTTTCAGGTTTCAGATGATTTCATATATGATATTATGATTTCATATGTGATTCATATCTCACATTGTTTTCATGTCATCACTTCTCATCCACGCATCTGCAAATACAAAAATGCCCGAAAAAAGGGACTGGGCCCGGGAGTCGGGAGCCCTGGTTCGGTGCCGGGACCGCTCAGCAACAGCTGGCTATGTGGCGTGCAACAGCTGGCTCCGTTCGAGTCGCGATGCACCTTGCTACGTTCATAGCGAAGCTTGTTCCTAGTAGTAATTCCAGGAGCTACTAGTTACTAGTAGCTTCTTGCTATGTCATAAAGTGATGGGCCGCCCTCTAGAACTCTGGGCTTGTACTGGGAGGGAACAAAAAACTTTTCCGATAGAAAAGGCCGTGCCGCCATGCCTCCTCTTTGTGCGACCGATGCCGACGCGACTTTGCTTGAACCAAGCTGAACAGCATGGCTTATCTGAGAGGGATGGGTGATCATTCACTCCACATGAAACATGAGACGGATGGTCAACAATGGATCAACTGGGTCTAGTCAAGTCCGGTTCGTCACCATAGCTTTCCCCACGTGGATTCCCAACAGCTGACCGCCGAAAAAACATGGCACCACTGAAAAACACACACACACATTGTTGAGTATGTTGAGTGTGGGTCTACGACCCGAAAAGAATGGTCAAACTGACGGTCAAACAGGGCAGAGAAGAAGACCAACACCGAGACCCCCATCTCTTGCCAGTTCAACACAGAAGAAGACGTGGGTGTGGAACAAATTCCGTTCCCCGGTAGAAGAAACAACGCCTAGTCCACCAAGTGCGCTGCGTGGTGGGGAGAGTGGAATCGCTCCAGTGACTTCAGAAGTCTCAAGTGTTGTTTTCTCGCAAGTGGCTCCACCCCGGAAACTCATGGTGCAAATACTCAGAAACCTCCACCACCCTCCAAAATGCACATCCAAGTCTTCTGGCATCAAATCGCAGGGCACAAGCTGGAGACTTTTCGAAGGCGGATCTCATTGTGCGGATCAATCGAAACAAGAGTGCGGATCAATCTAAAACTACAGATGCATCAATAGAAGCAACAGCTGAAGCTCCCGATGACAGTCTAGAGTCTAGCCGGCATGAGTTCTTGTCAGCATCGCTGAGATCAACCGACGCCTTTTTCAACGGGGGACCGAAGAACACAAAACAAACGCGATCGAGGCTTTGCGAATCTCGGATTGCCAGGATTTGCATCCAACAACCATAACAAATGGTAACAGTCACAGAGTCTTCTGACCGCATCTGGACGAGCAAGAGAAACTTGCGAATGGTGGGTGAAACATTTCCGTAATGGAGAATGTGTGAGCTGTCTCTGCCTCATTCGGTTTGCTCTCTCAGCCAAACCAAAGGAGCAAAGCGCTCAGCCAAGGCTTTCATCGGCAGTGAGCCTCAGGAGGGATGCCTTTAAGGGGGCAAAAGGAAGGAGCACAAAATGGGAAAGTTGGAAAGTTGCACAAACTTCGTCTAGTAGCTATCTGGCTGTGGGTTAAACTTTCTCGGTGGTGGTGAACTTGCGTCCCAAAAAATGTGGCTCCAAAACATCTTGGCCCTCCATCTTGTCCAGATTTCCCATCTCTTTATTGCAGGGTGCCATGCCTGGGCACAGGTTGAGCAGCGCCCTCAGTGTAACGTCGAGATCGGTGCGGTATGCTTGTCGCTCCGGGCAGTGTGTCGAGACAGGTGCCCAATGGTATCCACAAACCGAAACAGCCCGCTAATTAGCTGAGGCCTCCAAGTTTCACCCAGTGCAATTTCAGATATCAAGGATGTCTCATGATGTCTCAGTTTTTCCACAAGCCTGGGGCCCCAACAACTGTGCATACATGGCTCCTGTATTGATCAAACTCCTGCACAGTGGCACAGAGCATAATCCCGTCAGCCAGCATCACTTCAAACAGTTGGGCCGAAATGTGCCAAAAGAAACCTGTTCCGTGGCCCCAGCTTTTAACCAGCTTAGAATCCTATGTGGATTCGGAATGGCAAGGCGGGCCTTTCATGGCATTTGTTGTTTGAAGGAAGTCCTCTGGAGTCACGTGAAGCTTCCATTCGATAAGCTGAAGGAAGTGGCTCTCCAGCGCGTTGACCTCTCTGGTTCGCACGCCTCCTACCTGGCCAGCGAACGACGCAGCTTGGCGGCTTTGGTGGGGACACGCAGTGGTGATCCCCTTCCAAACTAGCAGCTAGTCACGACATGCGTTCCTCAGGTGTCTCCATGCTTTCTTTTCTGTGGGAACAAAACCTAATGGTGTGAGCATGTCATGTTGATGTGTCTGCTGGCATTTCACTGTTGCTCGATGCCGTCTGCACGCCGACTCCACGCCGAGAAAGGCAACATGCAACATGACATGCGAGCACTGGCTACTCCGTCGCCTTGGCGTAGTAGGCGTTGCTGTAATATACATCATCGAAGAATTTCACAGCCAGCATAACGCTGGTCACCAGTAGCCTCGCAAACCAAAGGGAGAAGCAAAGAACGAATCAATCGATGTCGCTCCCATAGCAAAACATCCGACGCGGTCCATGCTTGACATGACCAGCCATAAGTGCGGACTGTGATGACAAGACCCAAGCATATCGGACCCTTAAAGGCTGCCAGCCGCCATCCCCTGCCTATGGATATTCAGGCTACATATCGTAAAGTCTGGATGCAGCTTTACGATCCTGTCAATATACACCAGGCACAGCCTCGGTGCGGCAACTGCGCACACAGACTTCGGTTCTGCTTCTCTTTGTTTTCCAATGTCAAGTTGCAGTACAGAACATTGCTGGCAGGCCAAATCAGGCAAACGTGCCTGTGTGCTTGTTTTAGAGTCTACCCAAATAGGTCTCTGCGTGCATTTCCCTACTGGTCTTTGCTCAATTCTCCAAGGCGTAAGGTATCTGCACAAAGCATTCCCGGCTGCACTGAAAATACTTGGCAATCCTGCAAGCAGGCATGTGGACTTCGGCATAGATGCAAACTAAACGTAGAAATTGAGAAGAGAATCGCCATCTCCGAGTCCCTTGCTGTCCCAAGCAGGATGCCACTCCGACGGAAAGCAGACTAAAGACATGTAAATTGAACAAGAACACCCTGGTGAAACCCAGCCGCCAAAAACTCCCCAAAAACCAAGAAGAGCAGCAAGAAAACACGGCGCTCCGCCGGCTCCACTGCAAAGCTTATTGCGCGCGTGACTCGTCGGCTCCTGAAAAGATAATCTCGTATAGGAAGCTGGGGCGGGCGAATTGAATGAAACTTTGTGACCTCGGACGGCAGCGTCACTAAGAGATCGAAGCAGAGACTCCATCAAGCCGGAGAGACTACTATATCTGGGTATGGATGTCTAGAGTCTAGAGTAAGAAAGAAAGCAACACCTGACAAAGGCATTGAATGTATACAATACACAGTACGTATAAGGTGACGGTGGTGGATCTAATTTTGAAAAATAGCGGCATGCGATGTTCTCTTAGTCAAAATCTGCAAGTGCAGAACATGTCAACCAATCTACAAAAACATCTGCACTGCAAGCATGCGGGAGTTGGCAAAATTTGGTGCAAAAATACACACGTTCAATATCAACATGTACATTCAACATGAACACCAAAGCCAGAATACTTCTCTCAAGCTTAAAAACGCCACAGAAAGCGCATCTTGCTGTAGCCTTGGCCTTTATCCAGCTTGGCTTCGAGCCCGTTGCCCCGTTGGCGGTGGTCTCAATGAGGACAAATGAGTCAGCACCTGCGATGCCACTCGGTGGGCCATTCGCACAAGCGATTTAGAGCGGCGCCCGACCAGTCTACACAGATGATCTTCGTTGACCAACAAAATGGAGGGTGCTCATGTCTATTCAGCTTTTGACCCACAGATCTTCATCCAAAGAGTCACAGTCCACGTATCTTCCAATGTCAAGTGTGAGTAGCTCCTTGTTTGCCGAAAGAGTGAAAGCTCCTATAGGACTCTGAAAAAAGATTGTATCAATAGGAGGGGTGCAGTTGCCATTCTGACAGGAATTACTAGTTAGTAGTATATATTAAATATGATTAAACTGTTTGAGGGTAAGAATTAGTCTCTCCACGCATGCCATAGGCCATAGATGATTTGTTTCAAAATCCTGCACCACCCCAAAAAACTATATAACATCCTACCAGTTGCGGAAAATCCGGTGATGTCCCTCAAGTGGTCAACAGGGAGTCTGCTAAACCGTCTTTGAGGCCGCTGTTGGCTTGCAGGGTCCAGCTGTGGTCCCCAGCGTCCGCCAAAGCTAAGACGAAGCTCTGCCCGGCAGTTGCGACCTGGGACATGAAAGAGATAGAGAAGAGTAAGGCACTGGGCACCTGGCACTGGGTATGAAAAAGGTTTGTTGGGATGAAAGGGTGCTTCTTTGAGAGAGCGATTTAGAACGAGACCGATTTAGTCCGCGGATCCCATTTGAGGACCCTCCCCTTTCTGCAGCGTCCGACTGCGTCCGGTCGAGCGAAGGAGGCCCATCCCAGGCCTGCTGGCCAGGATCATCGTAGGATGGTTCATCCTCCTGCTCATCTTCCAACTCCATTGACACGCCTGGGGTATTTTGCAGAAAAGGGCGGTCATGATTGGATGGGTGGTTTTAGGCTTGGTTCAGAGGCCATCCACACAAGATTGGGTCAATGTGAGCTATCGGCCAGCATAGAGGAAACCCTTTCAAATGCCTGTGGCATGTTTGTGTTTGCAAGACTGATCACCTGATCTACCAAGGTGGACTGCTGGACTGTTCTAGCATCCACTTGGATCGACCCACAACCAAGCACTTGATGGCGCCAAACAACAGGCAGTACATTAGAGATGCTGTGGCATTGGTGTGGCAGGAATTTATGTTGTTCAGACCATGAACCTTACAGTATCTTCCGGTTCACCAAAGGACAGAAGTTCTGCACTACAAAGGGCGCCAGGGCAAACGTCCACCGCCATTCGGGTGTCAGAAGGTGTATGGCAAAAGCGAGCTTGATATGCTTATGGCCCATATGGGCCGATGAGCAAAAGGTCAGATTCCGGAAACTCCAGCAATGATTCAAAAGTCCAGAACAAAAAGTAAAAATAGCTTGGGTCTATCCTATTACTAGGGCCCAGTGGATGATGATGATGATGATGATGATGATGATGATGATGGTTAGCAAGGGCCTTTCTCTAAAGTATATACAGTATATAGTTGTTTGCGTGTTTACTGACTTTTAGAGGTAATAGGACAAACCCAATATATAAATAGCAAAGTCCAGAAACAAAGAACAAGACTTTGCTCATGTCTAGTGCACCGGTGACCGGTGTCCAAAAGAAAATTGCTCCACCCTTTCATGCGTGATGTCTGAGAGGTGAAGACAGTGAAATGGGTATATATCAAAGGGTGCAAACTGTCAAAATGACACAACATGACTTGAGCCTACCCATGCCAGTTAACTAGATGCTACTAGATGTTACCAACTTTTGATGATGCTTTCTTTGAGTCGCTGAAAATCTCCGGAGACCGACCATCTCGGCTGCCGACCCACTGTGCCGGTCGTCCGGCACGCGCTCTGGCGCCTCACGACCTCAGAAGATCGGAGAGCGACCCGAGAGCGACCCGAGAGCGATCCGAGAGCGACCCGAGAGCGACCCCGGTGGAGGAAATCCTCAGGGAAAAAAGACGTGGGAACTTCAGCCACCTGTGAAAGAATCGAACTGTGTTTTTTGCGGCATGTGGATGAAGAAAGTACGAACGAAGGCAGTCGGATGTGGCCGGTATGAATTGATCAATGCCAGGCCTGTAGCAGTGGATGAAGGTAGTTGTTCTCCACTCTCTTGCACTGCTTTGTGCAAGGTCCGCTATGAATAGGATGAAAGGGATGCCCAGGAATTCATCATCATAATCTTACATTTTAGGTGATTCCTGCTGTCCAGGGTTGAGGCAAAATCACCTTTAAGAGAACCAGATTCCGTGGTTACATCTTACGTCAGGAAAGCCTCAGCATCCGAGCAGCACTTGCACTCCCATCAAACTGCCCATCACAACACTTCATGAACGTGTAAGATCCCCTGTACATGTCAGATATGGGAACATCATCCCACATCATACCACATCAGCCGCAATGTAGCCTTTTCCTGAGGCACCGACCCATGTGCGGCGTGGTTGGAAAATTGTGTGAACTTCGAGCCCAAGCACGGCGCCGTTGCTTCACATGCAAAAGGCCACAGAGTGACGTTGATTCGAGGAGAGATGTTGAAATCCTTGAAGCAGGTTGAAGAACATCCACTACAGTAACTAGACTACCGGGAAGTTCATTGACCTATCCTGCAGTCCGGCTCTATCATCAAAGGGCAAAGGGATCAGAGACAGGCAATCACTGCCGGTAGAGATGCAGCCAGGGAGCTCGTCTTTTTCCGTGCGGAACTCGGACGCAAAAGGCGGGTTTCATCTCTCGCCAAGGGGAGTTGCTCCTCTTTTCCCGACGGGCCGTCGGTGCGCAAATGAGAGAGCCTCCCCAGAAGATGTCCTGAACAAAGCCCCTGCAAAGCTTGGAGCAAAATGTGTTGCGTGGATCAATTCAACTCCCAAATTAGGATGATCCTCCCTCAGCTTCTCTGTTCGCATATCCAACTGATGGACCCATGCCCGTGATGTTCAGCACTTAAATACATCTCTGGAATTCCCTCGACCTAAACTTTCATTGCTACCTTCTTCAGGTGTGGCTGGGCCTAAAATGTCAAGCAGGGCTCGAACACAGGAATCTCCTGCAACAAAAACTTTGCAAACATCTTTGGCAGAACTTGTCTCTGTCGCGTGACAGAAGAATGCAAAGAGTTCATGGACAAGTCGCGAATTGGGCCCCAGAAGAAGAGGGTGTCTCACCTCAATTTGCAAACTTCCACGGGGTGTTTGTCTTCTTCTGGGGTCCGGTGAAATGTCCGTGCCAGGAGTAAACTGGATTCTCCAGTTTCGTCCCGACCACGATCAAAGTGCGTCGGACATTTCCACAAAAAAGAGGAAAGCAAACGCGAACTACATATTACTGCAATTTCCGTGAAGAAGTCAAAGTTCGTGCACGGAGGCGGCGTCTTTGCCGTTCGGTAGACCCGAAGTCTTACAGGCTTGCTCTGTACATTTCAAAGGTTGTCTGCTCCCATAAGCAAATCAACTGTGGTGCAAGCCACAACCCTGAGCGTGCTGAAAGGAAATCTTTGATTGATCATTGATATCCCAATATCCCCGTGAGCTTTTCTTTTAGCACGACCATTCTTCATTACAAAAGCGCTCTTCATAAAATAACCGGTAATCAATCAAAACAAAACTCTCATATTCAGATGGCTTGCCAAACGAAGTGCGCTCTTAAAAACAGTGGTGCATTACAAACTGTGCAACACCACACCCAAAGGTACTTGGAGACGCAGAGAAGCATCCAGTAGTAGCCAAAAAAATGCAAATGCAGTCGAATTGGTTGAACTTGAAAGCTGGCAGGCAGAAGCATGAAGTGTCCTTCTGGCCATATGCAGAAGGTACCTTGCAGGGCTTTGTCGGAACCACTTTCATTGAACACCATGCTTCCATAAGTATAATTTATATTTAATTAAGTTGTTGTGGTTTACATACAACAACAATACCTGGTATGCTTGCCTTGTTTTTGAGTTTTAGTTCACAGATCTGCTTGGTCTGCTTGGACCGCTTAGACCTCACCTTGTGCTTCTTTGTCAAAATCACCCCGGCCTGTACATGCCTTGCGTCCGTGCATCGGCAGACGGCCAATCAGTTGCAAAATAGGTGGCAACCTTCCAACGTTGAAGCGAAGAGAGCGCGGAGCTATGTAAGTGACATGAGGAACGCGCAGGAGACGTCTTGTGCTATCTCGGGCTGTGTGCAGTGTGTCTTTGCTTCAGGAGATTCCGCCCTTGCCTCTTGTGGATAGAAAAGAAAGGTTCGTCGGTTTAGATTTTAATAGAATATTGGTCATATTTTAAACCTTCATATTAAAAATATATGAGTAAAAATGATGGATAATGGATTTGTGGGGTAGAGGTAGAGATTCCCCCCTCCCCCGACAGGGCCAAAGGCAAACGGTCCTGGTCTGCAACTCGCAAACGGACTCTCACAACCCTCTTCAGCTTTTTGATGCTTTTTGGGTGTCAGCTTGCTGCACCAAGGTGCGCATGAAATTGTCCAGGCTCGTGTCTCCATAACAAAGGTCTCCAGGTGGCTTTTCCACCAAACCGTCTGTGGCAGGACACGAAACGAAAGAACACCCCAAGATTTAAATCCTCCTCTGGTGCTTGACATTCAAAAGACAGGCTCATCAAGCAGTTTACAGCACTTCAATTTCCTAGCCGAGAGGCACCCTGGAAAGCACCTTGGCCTCTATGTAGCCACCCCTGATCCATTCTCTAAAGGGAAAACCTCATCTCCGCCCCTTCCATCCAAGTTCCGCATCCCGAAAAAAGCACCGCTGATCTCCAGCTGATCTCCAGCCCAGGCACGGGAAGAGCCCGACAGAATCCACCCATCCCCCCGGCATTTTGGGTGTTCTACGCGAGCTCCTCGGCCAGGCCGATCCTCGGTGTTCACCACAGGGGACCGATCCGGCCGTTCAGAAACGGAAGAACATCGGCCTCTCTCGTTCAGAATCATGAAGGCCCAGCAAAGATCCCTCCATACTGACAGAAGAATGGAGAAGAGTCCACTACAACCTGGGCCCCCAGGTGGGGCTCTCCGACAAGCTGAGCAGGTAGGCTCGAAAGGTAGGTCCAGGTAGGGTTCACCCCCACTAAGTGTTCAAGGATGCATCTTTGCCCACCAAAAAGATCCGAGATTCCCAGGGGGTGTTTGTGTTTTAGTAGGAAGGAAGAATCAACCAAATCGCCAAAGCTCTCCTTAAGTTCTCCCAAGATTCTCAACCAGCAAACGTTGCCCATGGCGAGTCCGTCCAAAGTCGCCCGCCAAGGCCTGCGGCGTCTGGGGCAAACCAGAGATGATAGGACGGGGTGATCCGAAGTCTGGCTATCAGGGCTATCTGTAGCATCCATAGTCTGGCCCTAATTACGGTAGATCTTGGCAAAAACATGTTGCTGTGGTAAAGTAGTGTCAGTGTACTTGGGAAATCCATCTTACACATCGAACGTCACCTGCCCGTGGTCGCATCAAAAGCTGGAGGATGAGGATACAGGACCACCGTCCAAGTCCCCATCCCACAAACCCAGCCAGTGGCAGTCTTCCTGCATCAACACGACGTCGACGTCTACTCCCCCCAAGCAAAAATAACCGAACATTACATAACCGAACATCTGAAAATAGAAGTTTAAAAAAAAAAAAAACATATATATATATATTATATATAGTAAAATAGACCGACACAGCAGTCCTGCACCATTTAACTGCGGGAGCACTAGACCTCTTTTGCTCCTTTTAAGCCACCATTGGAGGTGCTTCAGCCACCTTTGATCGACGAAGATTCGTCGCCTTCAGGGGCTTCAAACCCTTCGCCGCTTCGCCTGGATTCGTCTCAAAGCCTCTTTGCCGTTCACCCTCTCATCCTGCAACAAGGACTTGGCCACGTAGCACCCAAATTGTGATCGGGCTAACTCCACGATGACTTCGGTGCGCCCCAGCTGAGCCAGCAAGGCCTGCTGGTCCTGACGTGGATCACAACTATACAGCTTGGGATGCCGTCATGCAGCATACATGCTAGCATCGTCATGATCTTCAGCATCGTCACTCTCCAAAGGTTCCTATCTTCCTGTTGTCTCAGCTTGGACTTGCTCGCTAGCACCCATCCACAAACCTCTTTCAAGGCGTCTCTTCCCTGCCTCGAGTGCACAGTAGGACAAAGCCTTCTCCACCAAGTAACTGGCATTGCGATGCTTGGCGAAGCTCAAAAGGTCCGATCTCAGGATCGTGGCCACGACCTGCGCACTCTCGAGTCCGCGCTCCGCGGACGAGGCTGGCGCTGCCGCTTCGGATGGGAACATGAAGGAACCGGCCATCTGGGGAGCGATCGGATGCTACGTTCGGGGCTCCTGGCCGTACTAGGAGTAAAGGATTACTAGCAAGAGTGAAAGACATGAAAGACCCACGTCCGAAGACACGAAGACAGGTCTTTTGCGACATCGATCGATGGGTGTCGTGCGGTCAAGATGACACCGTGGGTCCGCCTTTTTTTCGTGCCCATGACATCATGGCATGATGGATGTGTCAGAGAAAACAAAACAAGCAGAAACAAACACACAGTAATAGGCATGCAGAATAGTTAGTTAGTGTACAGATGAGGGAACAGCAGTGATCAGAATCACTCAATAGAATTCAATAGAGTGGTGCTTCTCTTGTAGGTCCTCCACACTCCTACCAACTGGCAACGTGGTCTTCTTCGTCACGCGACACATGGGAGATGTTGGACAGACCACACCGGTATACCTGCCTTTCGGTGCTTCTCGTGGCCATGTTCCAAGACGGACTGCACCACGTGGTGTCCAAAGTTGTGACGGCACAAATCCTGCCGAGGACGACGTGAGTGACCAAGCGAAAAGCACAGCACGCGGCCCCGTGCAGCCGAAAGCATGGCCGAAAGCATGTAGCACCCCCTTTGGCCGACAGGCCTCGAAAAAGCGATGGTAGCAAACGATTTTTGGATGAAGTCCAAACGTGAGATCTATTGGAGTCATCTTGATCAGTTCAGTTGTCAAGATCTGAGGATCCACCGAAACGTGAGCGAATGGTCATGTCATGGTGAACCGCTTGGGAAATCATCTCCACCCGATCTGTTTGCCCCGGATGACTTGCTGAGATTGGAGATGAATGCAAGTAACACGGCCCTTGTTGTCTGTTTGTTAGGTCCCCTTTTTGATCCTTTTTTGAGTGAATAGTAAGGACCCTTGCAATACATTGCCGGGATGTTTGCAGTTTTTAAGACTTGTTGGTGGCCACTCAGCCATATTCGGGGCAGCAGCCTCGGCTTCAACCAGCAGCTCATCAATCAGCTGGAGCGTGAGGTCCCTGCCGCAGACGTGGGACGTGGGAATCCACCAAGGCTGGCCATCAGGAACAGCAGGAACAGGAAGCTGTTCCAAACATAAGCGGAAGCGGAGGAAAATCACATAGAAAGTAGCAATGGCAAAAAGAACTACACTTATGTATTTATGTATTTATTTATAATATATATATATATGTTAAACTGAGTCTAGCTGGGGAAGAAAACGCACTACATACCGGCCTCTCGAACTGTTATATAATGGCTTCCAAATGCTGTGAGTATGTTGATAAAAAGCAGTGTTGCAAAACTGCAAAGCCAATTTCTCGAACGATTTCAGGATCCACCCGAATGCCCATCCTTTGCAAAAGCAAAAACGCAGAAAGATCTATAAAGTGCCGAAAGAAACCTGCAGCCACACACCCAACTAGTGACTTAGTGGACTTCAGTACATGAATTCACTCGTGACAGAGCCTCTCCGAAAATCCCCCAGCGGACTCGGAAGACACATGTGCCGCGCGGTGTTCTCTTCGGTTTTAGCGCCTGTTCCCGCAGAACTCCTGCAAGCGGCAGAAGATACGGCAGGCGTAGCGGTGTCGTGCGAGGCGGGCGCAGGAGTTCAGGAGCTCTTTGGCCACAAAACTGGAGGTCGCCCAGGTCAGGGTGCTAACCACCTGCATGCAAAACGAGCACGAGCCGTAAGGAGTGGTCTTGCCTAGCGAACCGGAGACAACGTGAGCACCTGGCTACAACATCTACACTTCAGCCAAAGAAACAGGAACTCAACACTACAAAGGAAACATATTGTTGTTTAATGCTAGTATATTATAGTATTCATTTCATGATATTAATATACAAAGCAGCTGGTTTTGCGAGTCTCCCTTGGGACACAGTCGCATCCCTGACATTCCCCAAAAAAATCGTCTCAAATTACTTTACTTCAAAATTCCCCACCCTCAAAGAATTGGTCTTCACAAGAGAAAAGCGGTTCGGCGCGAAAAGGATTCTTTATTGAAAACAAAACCACACATCGAATACTTACTTGTGAGGTTTCTGAACTTCGATATTTTAATGCCTGGCAACCCCGCATCCCTGCCAAGTCAACTTGTGGTGGATATGCTGTGGAACTGGTACTTGGGAGCACTCTGGTGAATGTGCTGGTGTAAAGGCTACGCTGGGCTACTCGGGGCCACTCTGGTGGATGTGCTGTGTAAGGGCTACTCTGGGCCACTGTGGGCCACTCTGGTGGATGTGGTTCTTTGGGTTGCTCTGAGCTACGCTGGGACCACTCTGGTGGATGTGCAGAAGTAGCGAGTCTACTGAAGTCCAAAGTTCTTAAAATCTAACAGCCCCACAGTCCTACGGGTGGGGAAAAAACTGCTTTGATAAGTACATTACAAGTCTACAACTATCCTGCGATCTCTTTGGTAAATGTGCTGTGGAGAAGCTAAGTTGCGCTACTAAAAACTGTGGTTGCTGTGGACAAGCTAAGTTGAACTACTTAGAAATCAGTTTGTGAATGTGCTGTGGAAGAGCTAGGCAGCTAGGTTTAGCTACTCAGGGATCAGTTTGGTGAATGTGGTGTGAATACTCAGAGGTCATTTTGGTGAATGTGCTGTGGAAGTGCTACGTTGAATTACTCAGGGATTACTTTGTTGAACAGGGATCAGTTTGGCGAGCGTGCTGTGAAAGAGCCACTTTGGGCTACTCAGAGATCACCTTGGTGAACGTGCTGTGGAAAAGCTAGCTTGAAAACTCAGGGGTCACTCTGGGGAACGTGCTGTGGAAGAGCTACTTTGGGCTACTCCGGGATCTCTTTGGTGAACATGCTGTGGAAGTGCTGCGTTGAACTACTCAGGGATCACTTTGGTGAGTGTGCTATGGAAGAACTGCTTTGGGCTACTCAGGGATTACTTTGGCGAGTGTGGTGTGGAAGAGCTA